GGGTCGAGGAGGCGGGGTTAGGATATGAGTGGGGCAGGTGTTGGGAGATGCGGATGTGATAGGTGCCGATGGTTCAACTCGGTTTCGGCGGTTGAGATCGAGGGGACCGGGACCGGGACCGGGGGGCGGCAGAAAGAAGTACATGAAAACAAAAAAAGAGATGTGACGGACGATTTCAACGGCTTGCATAGGTCCCGTCGCGCGTTGAGCAAGCGGCGTGTGTGTACTGCGGAAGCTTCTCCACAAGGGTTTCGATTGTGCACACGACACGAGTTTATCTTCCACGTATCTCATGCTAGCTTAAAAAAAGGAAAATTAGGGCTGCCGAAAAAACATGAAAATGTCTGTAGCTTCAATATTTTAATACTTTCAGTTAAAAGACAGATACGCTGAAACCACGGACGCTCGTGTGTCAGTCTATTTCTAACCATCTGCTTCCTAAAACAATTCAAAACACACAACAGCAGAGACACAGTCAGTTACACACACAGCCTTACTTGAGAGAGAGCACGTTCCCGTCCCCCCCCACGACAGGAGAACAGCGCAAAACACACGGACGCGATTACAGTGGGCCCACCATCGCTTCTCACAACTGCTTCATTACATATTACAGTACACTGACGACTTAAAATGACACCACAACCTTCCTCCCAACAACACCAACTCACTTGAGCATGTTCCCGTACCACCCCGAAAGCCGGTCGCGAGTGGGCGTCTTCTGGTGCAGGGGGTGGCACCAGAATATGAAGTTGTTGCCGCGCTGCGGAGGGCAGCTCCAGATGTGGGCGGCCTTGAAGCCCCGACGTCGCAGCCAGTCCAGATACGCCACCAGGATCTCGTGGTACACCGCGGTTCGGTGTTTTCTCGGCCGGAAGTACTCCACTGAAATGGCACGGCACGGTACGGCAGAGGGCAGAAACGATTTTATGGAAAACATCTCGTGGTACATCGCGGTTCGGTGTTTTCATGAGCAAAAAAAAAACTAAGACAACATTTACCAGCGTTTCATTTCAAGGCACCCGGCGGTGGAGCAGTCTGACGCTGCCTTCCGTACCATCCCAACCCCACAACGAACGGACCGTTACAGCAGCAACAATCATACATTGGTGGCAGGCACGCTCTCATACCTGAGTCGAGGTAGGAGATGTAGGCGCGCCTCGCGTTGAAGTAAGGGGCGTCGGCACCGTACTCCTGCACGTACATAGAGAACAGGCACACCTCCACACCGTCCACGCGTTGGAACATCGACAGCGCCTTGCTTCGGTACCTGACCAAACGATAATTGAAGGCGAGACGAGGTTTCCGAGGTTTATCGCACTTCATTCCTTGACATTTTTGTGTGAAAAAATACACGACGGAAAATAAATTATTCAGAAAAAATCAGGCAAAAAAGGGTGTAGAACTTCACTTCGCGTCTCCACAGACACAACAACAACAATGTCGTACCCACAACAAGGACGGTTAGATAGACTACCAATTCTGCTCAAGCATGCACTTAAGTGTCGGACCAAAGCAGAGACAAGAGACGAGGAACGCGGGGTAGGCAGGCTGGAATGACTTGACCGGCGGAGAGGAAGGAACTCACTTCAGTAGCTCGGGCACGTCGTTCTTGTTCGGTCCGACCCCGAGTCCGTCCTTGCAGCAGAACGTCTCCCGCAGGACGGCGTGCACCTCGCAAGTGGCCTGAACAAATAACGATAAAAAAAAAAACAAGACCTCTAACATCAAAACACCAGCAGCCAACCAGAGTTCGCGTAAATACCAACTACAACAAAGTGGCCTCAACAGCAGTGGCGACAATTGGCAAGATTCAAAATCGAAAACAACAATAGCAGCAACCACAGCCCACGTAAACATCGATCAAAACAACGCGTTGGCGGTTTCGACGACACTCCTCCACCAATCACAGCAACGCCTTGACGGTTTCAACGGCTAAATTTTATTTTCGGCCGTTACATTGAGCAATCCCCCGTCCCCATCCCGGCCACAAAGGAGAGCTTGCTCTGCTCTCTCTCTCTTACCTCGACGTTGGAAATGAGGCGGATGCTGAGCGTAGAAGCCGCAGCCTCGTCCTCCAGCTTGGCCAGGCGCTGCCTCACCCGCGACTCGATGTACCGGCTCAGAGGCGTGTGGGGCAGCGACGAAGCGGCGTAGACCTATGCATGCCCAACAGTAACGTTTACAACACCGCAGCACAGAATTTTTACGACGGGAAGGTACGAGGGAACGAAAATAACACAGTGAAGGGGAGAGCAAGAGGAGGAGGAGTGCATCCAACACATACAAAACACGTGTAACGGACAAGTAGATTCATTTCGTAGGAGAAAGCGATCCTGGCGATTTCTACTAACGCCTGGTGCGGCAACAGCAAACAAAACAACGAGGGATCCATAACGCCAACGGTGCAGCCGAGACACTCCACCCCACAACCCCCTTGCAACAAAAGTGACACGCCACAAAAGCGTGGCCTTTTGAGGCACTCCATCTCAAGAAAAGGGGGCTCCCACCACAAAAGGAGAGAGCCCCCTCTATAATATACTAAAGCCCTTCTCTTCTACAACTGATCAATGCTTCCTTCCGTATACATTCTTTTAGCCAACAAGTGCGACAAGTGGTTTCCGGCAAAAACGTGCTTTGGTTTAAATGCACGGTCAGCAAAAGCAGGTATAGCCACCACGAAACATGACAAGATTTTTGCTTGCCAATCGATCACCGCTCCCGACAACATCAGGCACGCAACAACACACACATTACGTCCCCCGCTTACGTCGAGGCTGTCCGCCCCTGCCGTCCCACTGGCCTCGTCCCCCGCCGCCTCCGCGCCCAAGTCCTCATCCACTTCCATCGGATCGATAGCCGAGACGGTAGCAGTAGCGGTAGCGGTAGAGGCAGCGGCCCCTTCCGCTTCCCCAGCTGCCTTGTCGCAGCCAACCCCCGCCGCCGCCGTCACTTTCGCCTCACCGTTTGCCACATACCCCCCATCAACTCTCTTGTCGTCGCCTCCGGTCGTCGCCGGCACGGGCCTTTCCGGTGCGGAGGGATCGGCCACCGCCACCGCCACCGCCGCCGTTGCCGCCGCTGCCGGTGCCGCCACCTGTGCCGGTGCCGACGCCTGTGCCGGTGCCGTCGTCGCTCCGGGGACATGGGCACCACCACCGTTAGTCACGGCCGGGGAGGGGGGAGTCGGGAGTTCCCGGGCTGCAGGAGGCGTGCTCTCCGCAGGTGAGAGCAACCGGTCCAAACAAGGCGTCGCCCCGCCAGGGCCGCCGCCGCTAGTGTTAGCTGTCGTGTTCGCCGCAGTACCGATAGCAGCGGTAGCGGCAGGAAGAGGACTTGGCGTCACCCCTTCCATGGGCGCTGGACCCACCGCCTGCTGCTGCTGCTGCTGCTGCTGCTGCTGCTGCTGTGCCGCCGCCGGTGCTCGCGCTGTCTCCCCCCCAACGAATCCGCCCACGATTCCGTTTACCGGCTCGGCTGCTTGCTCTCTCGGGGCGGTCACGCGGGGGGCGGTGACGGACGCCCCCGCATCTGCTGCTACCGGTGCTGGTGCTACTGCTGCTGCAGCAGCCGGCTGCTCAGGCGCAGCCAGGGCTGTAGCCGTCCCGACGGGAGGGCTAGCTCCAGCCGCAGTATCTTCAGTCTTCACGGGACAAATCGGCAACAGATTACCATTCCCGTCGATCGACTTGGGTCTCTTGCGCGCAGTGGTCGCTTCCACCTGTTAAAGAACAATCACGCCAACACACACCAGAGTAAATAAAACCCAACGCTAATACACCAAAGTTTCGGCGCGCAGGCGAGGGTAGAGGGCTACGGCTAACAGCAAAAAGCCAAATGCCGAACGGCACCCAGGGCGCAAGAAAGCCTCCTCAAAAACAACAGCATCCCAGAGAACCCAACACCCGCACCGCCAGCGAATAACCAACGCAAGCTTTTCCCCTTATCTATCTATCGACTCTCAAAAGGGTCGGCCGATGGAGAACAGTTGCTCGAGAGCTAGCGGGAAGAACAAGAGTACCAGCATACCTCGGTGGCGGCCTCGGGTGCTTGGGAGCCGGGCTTCTTGGTGGTGACCACGTTGCGAAGCCTACAGAGGGGGCAGACGAACCTCGCCTCTCCTACGTTCGCCCTGGCGTTGAAGAGCGCGCACACCTGCCGTCGTGCCCCGTAGTACAGCGATTGAGTTATCGGTGGGACAAGGGTGGCGGGACGGGAAGATGGCGGCGAGCCAGCAAATGTCAGCAAACCGTAGAGACAACCTACGCAAGCGTCTATCGTTTACAGAACTGGAATCATCAGCGAAACCAACGTTATTCTTGGAATTGCCTTCGGCTGCTGTTTTTTTAAAGCCTGTAACAGTTCCAACGTGCGGCAAGCGTCTATCGTTTACAGAACTGAAATCATCAGCAAAACGAACGCTATTCTTGGAATTGCCTTCGGCTGCTCAATCCAACGCTCAGGCAACATGAAAGCTCGCCGCTTTCCGTGCACATGTTTAAACAGTGGCACAAGAAGGGCCTCTACGGTACCAAACGACGCTCCTGCCGAGGGCGGGCGGTAGGACGGCACCCGTGTCTCACCCTTCCCCCCCTCCTCGCCACCGTATTGTGAAACAAAGACAAGACAAACGATGCCAAACAGCGAAGAAAACAAACAACATTTTTTTCCGCACAGGACAAAATCGACGACGCGCGGGCAAAGAGCACCAAAACACCGACCCCGAGACTATCGTCCAAAAAAAAACAGGGAAGGGCCTACCTGGTGGACCCAGCTGTTGCACCGGTCGCACTGCACCCAGGGCTCGCTGATCTCCTCGTCGAACTTTCTCCTCAGCAGGTCACGCTTCAGCGGCGCCTTCACCTCCTCCACCGCTGCTGCTGCCGCCGCCGCCGCCGCGCCCCCCCCGCCGACACTCCCCCCCGACTCCGACGCCGCAGGCGGCGCGCCCGTTGCCCCGTTAGCGCTCCCCGACTCCGACACCGCCCTGCCCGGCGCTGCCGCTGGTGCAGCTGGTGGCGAACCGTTGGCGGCGCTTGCCGGCGATGCCTTCCTACCGCCCTCGCATGCTGTTGCTGCGCTCCCGCCCCCGTTTTGTCCGCTGCCGTGGTTCACGCCACCACCACCATTCGCGATTGCTTCGACCGGAGCGGCGGTGGACGCCGGCGAAGGAGTTCGCGCGGGCTGTTGTCGTTCTGCCGTAGAAACCGCCGGTGCCGGTGCCGCCGGTGCCGTTGCTGGCGGAGGAGGCTGCACCGGCGACGGTGACGAAACGCCACCCGGCGAAAGTACTCCCGAACCCGCGGCCGCCGCTCTGCCTTCGCCGGTGGTTGGCGGTGTCGCTACTGACGGCTGCGGCTGCGGCGTCTCCCCTTCTGCCGCCGTGCTGCTGCTGCCCGACGCGGCGGCACCGCCGCCCTCTCCGCAGTCGTCTCCGCCGGCGCTGGCAACGCTGCTGCCCCCCCCCTCCGCCGTCTCTTCTGCTACGATCCCCTCGGGGTCGCCGTCTGTCGGCAGCTCTGGAGGGAGGCCTGGGTGGCACCGGCTACACCACAGGCGGCACCCGTCGCGGGTGATATGATACACCCCTTTTATTACAAGAGAGAGGGAAACGAAGGAAAAAGGCAAGTACATAGGGCAAGCGAAAGAGAAGGAAAGTGAGCCGACACGCTCTCGACCCGAGAGAGCAAGATAGATGCCTGGATCTTTTTCGACGTGTGTGGTCGGCGTGGTATAACGAGTGGCTTGGGCGCAACCAGACGTGACAAAAAGGTAAATATATGGTCGAAGCAACTCGGGTGGAAGAACAAAGACAAGGCGTGAACGTCGCCACCTCCAACACGTGCTGATACTTAGCGTCAACCAAGAGCCATTGCACATTCCTACCTAAAAGCAATTCATGACCTACAACCAACCAAAACATGTGTGAGTGTTTTGAGGCCGTGTGAAGGCTGCAGGTTGCTCTTTTGCACGTTGCTCGAGCACGACTCACCTCCGCGGACAACCCGCTTGTTGCAGTGGTGACAGATGATCACCGGCGGTTCGAGCTTCAGACACTTGTCCCCGCACAGAGTGCACGTCTGCCCCTGGCAGAGCTGGCAAGAGTGGCTAAGAGACTTCGCCCACCCCTCGTCCAGCTTCCCGATCTGCTTCGAGTATTCTTGCTGCCGACGACAAAGAGGGTCAAGACGACACGACACGTGTCCAGTCAACAAACACAAAAACACCGGAGCTACCTAGGTGCGGGAAAGGAATTACGAAGCACGAGATCCAACCTGCACCTCAGGGCTACGACGTCCAACCCCACACCACAACCGGGGGACAAAAATGTTTTTCACCCCTGTACGAAACACAAGTACGACGCATTGGGTTCCCTCGCCACGTGTTCCAGCCCAAACATCACACAAACCGATATTTGGTAGATTGCCAGGGAGCACGGCATTTGTGGTGGGTTCGCACCCAAACGTTTAGGGCGACAGGTACTCACGAAGACACCACCGGCATGATATACTTGTACTGTAGGGGGAAATCGATGGGTGGGCCCGCAGGGAAAATATTGAGGCTAGACAAGACCCAACCTTCCCAATTTGAACTCGTCCTGTGCCTGAATATGCTACAAACGCCACCCGACAGGCTTCGCTCGCGTGCGCACAGCCCAAAACACCAACCCAAGGTCGGACTCACGTCAAACTCGTTCAGCAGCTGCACAGCCCACGTGTGCACGAAGTGGGTCTCCGGGTTGAAGCCGATCGCGTTCTTGAACACCAACCGCACGTCGGACGCAAACTCTTCCGGCGTCGTGTACGACATGGACAGCAACCGGGACTTGATCGTGCCCTGGGGTGGGGGGGAACCAAGCGAGTTGACCAAGAAAAATGAACAAAAAAGACGTATGGAGGGGTAGGCGATGTAGCCGGATAGGGTGGCACACGAAAAGGAAACGTCCACAAATAAAACCATCCAGCGTGGTCCCGCCAACACAGGCACTTGAAACGGGTGTTCATTGCGAAAAAGCTTCCCACATACTGCTCATGACAATCGCACACTTGTAGTTTCTTTCTGAGTTATGGTTTTGGGAAAGCCATGCAAACTCAACCTTCGGCAACCCATTTGATGTAAATGACAGAGGGACCTACGAGTAACCAGCCACCACCCTTCAAGTATTTAATTTACCCGAACCGGCAACAAGCTACCGGTATCCGTCTTTCGTCCACGCTCTTCCTCGATTGTACATTCAAGGCAAGCAAAACCAAAAACTGATTTGACAACACGAAAACAAACCGAAACGAGAATAAGTCTCACGCCTGCGGCTTGCGGCCTGCCACTCACCAAATCCATCGGGTGAGGGACGCGCTTGAAGTAGTCCGGGATGCCCAGCTTCAGCGGGTCCACCGGGACGTTGAACAGCCCGCGCTGCGGCCCCGTCCCGGAGGACATGAGCTTGGTCAAGATCGGCCGCACCTTCTGCACGAGGTAGTCTAGCCGCAACGCCTGCAAAAAAGATAAAATGGTGTCAAGTCGTGCAAAACAAAACGGTTCCGTGAGGACGGACTGGTTCAGTAACTTGGAAGTATGTAATTGATCTTCCTCTGCCCTCGACCTCAAAACAGAGACAGACGTCAGCATGTCGAGCAACAAGAGCACAGCAAGTTCTAGCCTGTTTTATCTAGCAAGAGAACTCGATTACGCATCGTCACGTGCAGGCTAAGGCGACCAAGGCGAATGCCATGCCCCGTGCCAAAAGGTGTCCACACACAAAACAAACCAAGAAAAATCAGCAATTCGTAAAACCAACGCACAAGAGACAAAAACATACGCGACAGGACATAACGTCCCTCCCTCCCGAAGAACAACCAGACGCAGCAGACAAAACATACCACAACTAGCGTAACACGTACGAAACCACGCCCTAACTACATGAAGCCACGACGCAAGCACCTGCACGTGAGACGCAAGCTCCTTCGGGGCAGCCGCGGACAAGGCGGTGACGCGTCTCGACGCCAGCGACGTCTGCACGTGCTCCGTGCCGTCGTGGGCGGTCTCCAGCTCCCCCTTGTCCACCTGCCGCCCGAAGATTGCCGCCAGGCTCGGGGAAGGGGGCCCGCAGCCAGGGGGAAGCTCCTGGTACACCCCCCGAGCGAGGTACAAACACGACGACGATGGAGAGACAAGAAACGCGGAAAGGAACAAATAGCGGGTTGGTTTTGCTTCAGCAGCCGGATTGGGATAAACCGAAAAAAAAAATGGGAAAAAAATCGCCACCCACAACGAGGGGCGGGGGAAGAATGCATCAGCACTCCAGAGGGATCGTTGCAGAGGCTTAGAGAGACTGTTCCTAATCTTATAACAAAATAACTGGACCGAAAGCACAAACACCACCCAATTCGCACTGCTTCCGGGAAAAAACAAGGAACTTTGAAGCCGGACATTCGTCAAATCCAGTTTTCGACCTCCCATGCAAGACAGAGTGAAAAGCCATTATCGGGCCCAATGCCTGCCCGCCCCCCCACACAAACGACGAAAGCCTGGGCCGGCGAAACTTCCGCATATCGCTCATTCCCAGCATTGCAAGGATGCGAGGCCAATGGTCTTATTAACGACTACGGCATGCGTTTACGTGACTATACCCCTCGAAAGAGACATTTCACCCCTATATACCTGTCGACTGAAGGTCTTAACGACTACGGCATGCGTTTACGTGGGTGCAGGTTCCCAGAAATAACCAGAATTCACCCCCACAGTATACACCTGTCGACTTGTAGGTGCCGGCGGCGGCGGGGGCGGCTGCGACGCCCGCGAGGCGGCGAGCGGGCGCGCCCGCTTCACGCCGCTCTTCCCCTTGCCCCTCTTGGTTGACCTCGTCTCGCCTCCCGCCGCCCCGTCCTCCTTCTTCGCCGCCGCTGCCACCTCCGCCGCGTGCGCCGTCGCTGCCGTAACCGCGGCCCGCGGGATCTTGATAAGGAGGCGTTGCTTCGGCATGAGCAACCCCGACGACGCCGCTCTCTCTGCCGGTGCTGCTGCCGCTGGGACGGCCACGCCCGTGACCGCTGCCGTCTTGTCTGCCGTTGCTACGGCCGCTGCTGCTGCTGCTGCCGGGTCGCCAATAGGCTCCACCTTGATCCCCAGGTCTTCTAGCTTCGGGAGCTTGCCCGCCTGCGGCACACTCTTCGGCCTAACCTTGCGCGACTGAGCGGCGCTCTCCTGCGAACGGGAGGAAACGAGAGCAAGCGGTAGGTAGCTTAAGCACACCACGGTCCAAGTTCGGAAAAAAACAACGAAAAAGGTCACGCGTTGCCAGACATCCATTGGGGGTGTCGCCAAGACTTGGGGATGAGCCCACACACATCGAAAGGCCAATCATTAAGAAAACTGCAAGGGTCATACTCCAAACTACAACCAGCGCACGCACACACACGTGGTATGTACCTGCTTGGCCGACGGGTGAGACCTCCTCTTCGGCCGCGCGAGCAACTCCGACTGCCGCGCCTCCACGCTCAGCGCCAGCTGCTCGGCCTGAGCAAGAGACTGCGCAAGCCGGTCCATCGTGTCCGCTTGCAACGCCTTCACGTCTTGCTCCTGCCCTTGCTGTTCTTGCTGCCGCTGCTGCTGCTGCTGGATCTCGACCTTCGCTTCGGAGACGCCCGTAGCGACCGGCAGCGTCAGACGCCGGGGTGGGACCGGGGCCTGGTCCTTCTCCGGTTGCTGCGGGACGACCGACCACGGCTCACCGCCGCCGCCGCCGCCTCCGCCGCCGCTGTGCCCCACTTCCTTGCTGCGCGTCGCGACCCCGCCGCCAGGAGCGCAGGTAATCGCGTGCCTCGCATCAACCACCATCATCGGCCCCGTGCCTCCAACCGACTGCTGATTGGGCGCGCCGAGGGAGGCCTGCCGTGGGTCCACGTACCGCTGAAGTGGCATCGACGGCGCCCCCACCACCGTCGCCGCGTCCGCCTCTCCGCTGCCCACTCCCGACTCCGTCGCCACCATGAGGCTCGCCACCTGGTGGTGGTGGTGGTGGTGGTGCCCAGGGTAGCCGCTCCCGATGGCGCTGCTGCCACCGGAGGCGGAATCGACGGCGACGGCGTCGGCGGAGGCGACCGGGTTCCCGCCCGTGTGACCGCCTCGGGCCTTGTCCCCGCAACGGCAGAGACCGCTCGAGTCGACGGCCGCCAGCGCAGCTGCTCCCACGGTCTCCGGAGACGAGAAATGCGGAGCGTGAGAGGACGCGCAGCTGGGACAGGGGTCTCCGCCCGTGTCCGTGGGAGGCGTGCCGGAGCCCGGTGACCCGTTCCCTTCCGGGGGCGCCAGGTTAGGGTCGCGCTTGAGGTGGAGAGGCGCGCGCCCTGCGGTTGCTGTTGTGTTGTTGGACTCCTGCTGTTACCCGTGTGCGTGGCGGAAGAGGACAAAAGAAACGCACCCTTGGTTAGCAGCGACATACGAGGTACAAGCGGTGGTAGGATATTCCATGGTATATCTGCAAGGAGCCACAGCAGCAGATATAGCTACATAACACGTTGCACTGTGTCGTGGGGACCAGGACTCTGATCAACAACGTCATGCGAGGAAACCATGATCCACATCGCAGTTGCTGCTGACTTCAACCGCCGTACTTCCCGCACACGCAATCTCATCTCGGAACGAACTCGACACAGTTCGCTCCTCGAAAACAAGGACAGCAAGCGAATTCGGTGCTCAAGGGACCCAACCGCCAGAGTGTAGGGAAATACACAGTTACCGCCCGGGAAGCGTTAGCCTCCAATGGTCGTGCCCCTTCGAGAAAGTTGCTAAAAACTGGTTTGTTTCGCGAAAAAAAACACACAAACGTTGCAACAAAGCGCGCGGCCGTCATTGAAGATGGGGGAGAGGTGTAAACACAAAATATTTTGCGCTGCGAAGCTTGAAGCGCTGCCGTTTACGGTATCGTCCATGTGTACGACCCGCAAGGGGCCGATTCCTCCTCTCACCACTAGACTATTTCCAATTCCCCCGTGCCCCCGTTCGGACAAATTAGACACACAAGCATGTGCGCGGGCATATGAAGGACGGTTTCATCGAGACTTCCGTCACAACGTTCATCGCCACTCTCGTCTACCCGGGGTAGCGGTGCTGACTGACTACAACCTTAGGCGTCTGCATGTTTTGTGAAGTCTTCAGGTATATGGAAGGTCGTTCGTCGCAAAGCGGCCAATAGCTGCCGCAAATGTGGCGGCAGCGGTTATGGCGGCAGCGGTAACGCTCTGTACTTCAGAGTGTGCCAAGTGGGTGTTTCTTTATACAACAAGCATCGACTGCTCTGAACAGTTGACCCAATGAAAATACGTCAGTGTTTTATAGTGGGACACGAACGCGAACACCTTTTCAGTTATGAGGGGGGGGGGGGGGGGGAGATTGAACGACTCAGTCCAGCCCGCGGATCGAAGTATTGTAACTTACTCAACGCATCTGAAATAACATTGCAGGATTCCCTGTAGTAGGTTTACTCCCTACGCGACCTCTCTGTGTTCCTTCCATTGGGCTTTTGCCTCTAGCACGTTCCTGCTTGGCGATTCCTTCTAGGTGTCTCTCCGCTACCTGTCCCGGTAGACTGCCGCAACCATGCAAGCAAGTAAACGTACCCTTCGACGTTGAAAAGCCAATCGGAGAAAATCGCACCAGTGACACAGCAGGCGTGCGCAAAAAAAAGGAAGAGCGGCCGCACGATTTCCGAACCGGTATCCGTGTTATCACGCCGATGAGACAACATCAAATTGAGAGCTTCACTTACGGCGGGATGTAGGCGTGCTGCCGCAAGTATCTCGGGGCCACATTTGTGAGCTGTGAGGTATTGTCCAAAATTTGCGTTTTAGGATATGTCGTGTTTGCTGTGCTGCGCATACTGCTGTAGATCGGCTGGTACGATGGTAACCAGTAAGCCGATAGATATCGTGCCCATCGGGGCAATCGCACCACCGGGATACATACGCATTTAACGCCGTACGCATATCTATGTAGCACAAGCAAGGCCGATGCATTTTGTTCGGCATCGCGCTGAGGGTGTCGTGGAAATGCTACAGAGAAGTGGTTTTGACAGAAGACCTTGCAACACGAAAACATTTCAGATTTCCGAGTTGTATTTCCGCACCAGTACCGGGGTTTCTTTCCCACCCATCACCCATCGGGGGTACGGACGGCATTTGGGGTGCGACGAGAAGCAGCTAGACATGGTTGACGAAAGGACCGAACGAACGAACGAACCCGATTTTGCACTTGGGCGTACGGCAGATCTGATGGATGGAAGGAAGCCCCACGTCCACCTTGTCCTGTATTTCAAGCACCACCCTCCATAGTCAAAAGTATGTTCGTTCGTGTCAAACACTTTCGCGTATTGATCGTTTTCTTCACGCTCGGAGTCACTTATCCTTGCATCATCTCCCTCCTGCTCGGGAGCCCGGGAGTGTGTTCGGAAATGGCCGCTACCTTCGGTTCGTCGTACAACCATAGCATTGACCGAGCTAACCGGCGGAGCAAATGATAAGATTCAGTCGCGCAGCAACGGGAATAAAAAAAAAAACACGAATCATTTCTATAGTCTACGAACGGGGGTGGCTAGCCCGGCAGGGACGGCGGTCGAGGTTGAACGGCAATGTCCCTCTTTCGGATTCCAACTGGATTTCGAAGGTACACGAGAAGACTAAATAGTGTATGCATACTTGTAAACATCGCCGAGAAGGCCGCTGCTGCACTACATATCTGGTATTATTCTAGACACCTATGTAGAACAGCTCATTTGCTCTCTAGAACTTCTTGTATCTGCCCGTGGGCTGGCTTGACAGGGTTCAGCACGTTCTGGGCGGTTTTTTCGGGACGAGAGACGTTGTTCGGAAGGTCAACAACAATATCCTCCCGGCAGTTTCCACCGTTGTCCACGGCTGTACAACAAGCGCGTCGTAGGGGATGTCACGTACTTCTAGATTCCATGATCGATTCTCGGGCAGCCGCCGGATTTGTGACAAGAAATTTTTTGATGCGTTGCAGGCAATGGAACCATGACAGGTACGTTCCGCGGTCGCGAATGGATCGGAACCTACCTATACGTCGATACGCACTGCGGTAATTGGGGAGCGCTCAAAAGTAGAGGATAGGCGCCGCTGACAAGCGGTCGCGATGGGTAAGGTCGAGGACGCAAAACGTCGAAAAAAAATTCAAACCAGAAAACTGCGGCTAATTCTTCCTACGCCAAACAGCCACCAAAAAAAGAAAGGGGTGTTTTTTCGTATTTTTCAGGAACAGCAGCCGAAGCTCGGACAAATCAACGCCTGCCACTCACGCCCTTCGCACCCGCTGGGGCTAGAGCGAGAAAAAAGAGTACACACCCCGTGAGACCGGAGGCCGCAAGAGCAACCAAGCCAAAAGGAGAAAGGAAAACGAAAAAAAAGACGGATCACCTGACTAATTTCTTGGGTTCCAACGATAATGGTCCCGTCGATAATGCTCCTGCTGTTGCTTCCGCCGCCGCGCTGTAGCGAGAGCGCCAGCTTAATCCCACCACCACCGCCGCCGTTGTCAACTCCTGCTGCCCCTGGAGTTCCGTTGGGTAGCCTCGTTCCGCCCACGCCGTCCAACGTTCGCATTCCCTCGGCAGCAGGCAAGCCAGCAGCAGCAGCAGCAGCAGCAGCAGCAGCGGAACCGGAACCGGAACGATGTTGTTGCTGCTGCGGCACCGCCCGCCGATTTGAACCCGACAGCAGAAGGGCGTCGGCGTCGGATCTTTCAACGCCACCGGTGCCGCAGGCGTGGATTTGGTGATCCTCTGCTGGTGCTCCGGGAGTCCCTCGAGTTCCCTCCCCAACGTCGATCTTCATTCCAGGGTGACCCGCAGTCCTTCGGAGACAGAGGGAGAGGACGGGCACACAACCCGAGGAGGAGAGATGAGACCGCCGGATGGGAAATGCGAATTGTGGAGAGCACGACAAGGACGGGCAAAAACAGAGTTGTAACAAAAAGTCGTTCACACACTCAAACCAGCTGGGTGTGTGTGGAGAGAGCGCGCGCAATCTGCTCTTCGGCGGTGAAAATCAACCAAAATTGTAAGTGCAATAAAAGACGCCACACCAACTCGATGGAGCTCAAGCTTCACGAACACACATGCAGGGCCCATGATATCTCTTCCAGAACTCTTGCTATCAGCCTCGTGTATGAGTTGCAATGGCATCCTTGACAACAAGCGAGCTCGAACCCTGGCGTCGTTCTCACCGATCATCATCAACCAGCAATTGACAAAAATCGCCAAAAAAAAAAGTAAAAAAAAAAAGCAGCCCGAGGGCACCTGCTGGGAAAAATAACCTGTGTCGCGCGTGTGTGTCACGTTCCCGAACTTTGAGGGAAAAACCTCTGTCGATGGGCCTTTGGCCTCAGGTTCAACTCACCGTGACTCTTGGTCCTCTGTGCGCCGCGGATGCCAGAGCCGGTGTCCATGTCACAATGCCCCCTGGTGCAGCGATCTACCAGGCCCGCCCGCCCGCCACGCTCGTAGCTCGGTCTAAAGTAGGCCCGAGCGCGGCTCGGAGTGTCCCTCGACCACGTGTCTCGGAGTCTAAAATGCAGGTGGAGGCCCGGAATAAAAATAAATTATCCGTAGACTTTTTGAGCCCGAACCAAGGGCCAGGAACCCTAGCTAGGAGCACCTGAAGGCTGTCGCGTCTGTCTGAGTGCTGCTGGAGGCCTATTCGCTTCGCTATGGCGAGCGGCCAGAGAGCACACGCGCAGGCCACCGGGACGGCATAAAATCCGTTTTTTTTTTTTCGTGCGGCCGGCGAGCGTATCCTGCACGGGTTATAAGCTTGTTGCACTTTGCGGATCCCCCCCTTCAATCTCACACTCTGCTGTCTGCCGCGCTGCTGCTGTGCTGGCTGTGCTCTGTTGTGCTTGATATCAACGAGGAACGAGGGGTGATGCCTGGCCGTGTGCAGGGGCTACCTGTTCCACCGATGCTGCTGTCCTCCCGCCGTCTTGATCTCCTTGCAGCTGCTGGAAAATGGCAGCCATCTTGGATAATTTCTGCGAAGTTGCCTCTGCTGCGGCCATTTGGGATGTGTGTTTGAGAAGGAGAGCTCGTAGCGTCTCTTCCAACTTTACAGATGGTATCCGCAACAGCAGCAGCAGCAGCAGCGGCAGGCACACGCAGAGATAGAGAAACGGTATTGGCACTTCAAACATATGTTGGCTGTAGACATGTGTCCGTTGTGTTGCTTTTGCGTCTCATGCAGTTTGACATATGCAGGGAACGAAAGTGCACAAAGAAGAGGATACATCCTGTGTGTGGATGGAAGCGCAGCACAGCACCAGCACCAGCAGCACCACTCCTTGCAAGTAGGCAAGGCGGATGACCACCGTCCCGTTCCGTCCATGCACGTCACATGATGATCGCCGAGTTCCTCGGCGCCTGCAGGTTCAAGACAACAAGCCTGATGCTACACGGAACACACGAACACCCAACGAGAGCGATCGAACGATCGAACATACTTGTATGACATCGAACACCGTAACGGAACAACGAAACGCAGCCACCCAACATCCATTATTCCTGAATTAAATCTATCTGTCGTCTACCCCAACACGCTTGGCCTTCGCAGAACTCCAAAACTAATGCAGCACGTCGTTTGTTGGCAAACGGCGATCATGCGCGTCGGATGAACGGTCGGCGGCCGGCCGGTGTGGTTGTTTCGTTGCTGGATGGGCCTTGAATCCCTCCTCGCTCCGGCTCCTAGCACAGACAGCCTCTCAGCAGGAAGGGTACCTCTCGTTCTCGGAACGTGATGTTTCCCCGTGCTCGAGCTCATCAGTGACAGACTCAACAGCAGTTCTCCTTCGTTCCTACATGTAGTATTAAGGAAAAATAAATACACGCACAGAAAGACTACCCATTCGAGTATGCTACAAAGTTTGTGTATTGTACGCACCCCGGACAGCAACTTTGACACGCAAGCAACCACACAGGTAGACTGGCTGCAGTGATGATCGATGATGCAAGACACCACCTTCGTTGTACACACACACGTGCTGTTACGGATATTGGTGGATGCATATGGCGGCGGTGTGTACCAGACCCCCCTTTTCAACACCGACTTCCAAATAAGCTTGATCGCTCCGCAGGAGAAGAAGCGCCGGTGCCGGTAACAAGGGGAAGGAGGGACATTTGAAGATCCAATAAAAAAAAATTCCGGGCAAGCAAGTTCAGCATTGGCACCCTCTGGTAAATGAGTGAATCCCGGCCCATGGCGGTCGGGTATACACTGCTGCTATGCATATGTCGTGCACATCCTTAGCCGCAGCATCACAATCATCGTTATCTTCCGCCGGCTGCCACCGCCTGCTATACTGGGGGTGGGTATCGCTCCCTCATGTCTTCGACCTCTTGCGGGCGTGCCAATGAAGGCTTTCAAGCGGCGAACCCTCTGCGACGGTGTGACGGTGTTGCTGTGGATCCTGCGCGGTAAGGCCACATAGCTTGCCCTCCTTCGTCACCTGCTTCATCTTCTTCTGTCCTTACTCAAGAGCTACGTAAGCGTTGAGCCTATTGTAGACTACGGATGTACAGTAGTACACGTGCACAATTTTCGGACTAACAAGAAACCTTGCTGCTATACAATATATTGCTCGTAAAAATCCAGTACGTTGCATCTCGTGTGCCCTTTCTTATACCCGGAAGCGAACATGGTCACAGCCAGCACCGAAAATGGACGGCACTACTACTGTAGATGCCCCAAAGGCACAAACGGTACATGCCTCGAGCGCACAAACGGACCAACAAGCGGCTCCCGGATACCCGTCGCCCTCATGTTGCGACATGCAACGAGTCGAAAGCCACCCAACTACACGTATCTACATACTGTACACAATATGCAGTTCTTATCCCTACAGTTGACTGCATTCTGCGGAATGTAACTGTTACTGCACCTCTTTCGACCGACGGTCCCCATTTCGCAAGCTGGAGCGGAGGGCACCCGACGTTGACGCGTGTTGACGGGCGGATTCCTGTTACGGTAACGTCACGGCAGTCATACACGATCGATCACCGTATGCATTCACCTTAGGGTGGCGATTAAAAGGACAAGGCCAAAAGGACCTACTGCTGTGCACAGGATCGCGGCATGTAGACCATAATTCTACGACAATGCTGGGAATCCGAAAGCGCGGAGAGGCGGGAGAAAAAATATGGGGTAGAGGCATCTGGCTACGAGGCAGAAGAGCGTTGGGTTGTTGTACGCAAAGAAAAACGCTCCGAACTCTGCCCACAAGTATCTTGTTACATCCTGATTCAACCAACGCAGACGCCTCCCATAGTCACACCAGTCGGACTACGCCAAACACGCTTACGCAAGACAAAACACAAAAAAAATAGAAAGGGCCTAGACACGTCCACACACTCACGAAAGAAAAAAAACAGAAACAATTTTATTGGGCTTGTATAGCGCAAATACGATGCAGCATGCCACTTTGTACTCCGATAGCAAAAGCGTCTGTTCAAAATACCTCTGCTGCAGCTCTCGATTCTTCAGCTTGCTCCAGCCGCTGCCTCAGCACGCCCACCTCGCCCGCTAGTTTGTCCCGCTCCTCGCCCAGCTCCTGCCGCAAGCACGCCTCCTTACTTTCGAACAGAGATTTCATGCCCAGCAGCTCATTCTCCACGTACCTGTACAACGAACACGCGCCGTGCGGGGTGGGTGGGTGAGGATACATATTAATTCAATGCTGACGCCTTTCCTGAGCACTGACGACGCAGCAGCAGAGTGCCGTATAGCACGCACACCACATGCTTGGAGGGGGGCTGCGGTTGTGGTTGAATCACAAACCAAACAACAACAGTTTGGTGTATTCCATACTTTATGGACAGGACGGCCAAAGGAATGCTTACGATTTCTACCCCGCCATGCACTACAATGAATGCCTGCAGGTCGGAAGGACCACCCAGTGCACCTCGGCAAAAATAAATTTAGACACGCATGTCCAAGCTAACCATATGACACAGCAGCCGCTCCCAAACGGGGCAAAGATACGCCTCACGCAGACACAAGCGTCCTTCGTTTCGCGGTATAGCTTGTTGACAAGGACGACACAAGCGTCCTTCTTTGCGCTACAGCAGTAGCGCTTGGGACGAGGACAAGGGTGCGACTCGCCTCAGAGCTTGGTCCTTAGCCTCGAGCTGTGCCCTCAGCTCCTCCTCGACCGCCTTCGCCGCGGCCGTCACCGCCGCAACGGCGGTCAACTCTGTCGAACAGCTCCTCTGGCGTCGCCCACTGCCGTCCCGCGAGGACTCACCTCCCTGCCGGTCGTCGCCGCCGCCTCCGTCGCCTTTGCCGTCATCCTCGGATTCGTGGCGCTTGCGGTACCTTTTTTTTTTTTGCCGTGCGGCGGTCCAGCGGCAGCGGGTAGACGGTGAACAAGAGGCGATAGCCGAACAACGCAACCGAGCAGGCAGGCAATACCGAGCAGAAAACGACGCACACGTTTGTATCTACGTACAAGACGCACTTCCGGAGTGGGCTCATCAGAGGTAAGTAGTATTGTCATCAAGGCGTAATGCAAGACGGAAGTAAAGCATGTTGGTGTGAATCAGCTGACGCTTCCCAAGCTCGAACAGTCCACACAGCTCACGTGTTTTTGACTCGAACACCCCAGCGAACCTCAAAGAACATAAAATAAAAAAAATCCAAAATCCAATTGTCTTGTGTACAGTCTTACGGAGTAGTTATACAGGACGAATTTCGTGCGCAAAGAGCGGTAAGAGAGAGGGGTAGAGGCATGGGGGTGTCGTGCTTTCGGCAGTCGTCCATAGAGAGAACCGATGGCCAACGAATGAGGTATGATAAAACCTGCACGACACCCAACGTCGTCGTGTGAACCGAAGGCCCGATCGATGGCCTCAACACGCGCACGCGCGAGAGGGGCGAGTTAGCCTTGTGTACCTTCGCAGCTCCTTGAACACCTCTCTCAGCTGGTCCTCCACGCCAGACAGCGCCACAACCTGCGGGCAGGCCCAGGCAGGCCGAACACACACACGGGGAAAGAGCGGGTTCAGCGACAACCACGCAGCCCTAACACACTGATTTGAAGTCAAGACAAAAAAAAAAAAAAACACACACACACAAAGGGTGCATCGTCATCCAAAAGGGGGAACGCCAAAATCAATCCCTGACGAAGCCACGCAGAGCAAGAAGGCCGCACGCAAGGCCCTGGATATCGTAGGCAGTGCGGCAGGCACGGGGCGGCGGGGCACTACTCCAAGAGGCAGAGAGACAACGACACGACAGACGTACAGGTACAACTCTTGCCGAACAGAGACACCTCGACCAAACAGACACGGCAAACAACGAGACAAGATTTAGACACCTCGACCAAACAAACACGGCAAATAACGCGACAAGATTTAGACACCTCGATCAAACAAACACTTCATTCAAATGACGCGACAAGAACTGACCCTGACCGCCAAGCACAGACAGACCAGCGGGAAAACAGAAACAGTCCACGAAAACCGAGCGGCTCGCCTGCGCCTCAAGCTCCGACACCTCCTCCCTCGCGGCGTCCAGCCGCTGGTCGGACTCGGCCTGCTGCGCGTCCAGACGGTCACGCCATGCCTGTGCCTCAGCCAGGGCGTCTCCCTCCCTCAGCCGCAGCTCCTTGACGAGCTGTTTTTTCCAAAGCGAAAATAAACAACAAGGCCACCGTGACAATAACGGGCAAAGCCAAGCGTTTCGTGGCCAGAGTACACGGGGGCGTGTGTGTGCCAGATTTTGGGCAGGAAGAAAGGGACGTCCCCTAAGTTCGGCCGCTCGAGCGGGGATGTTGTAATCTTAAGGATTTTGCGGATAACAGCACAAAAAACTTCTTTTCTCTGCCTCGGCCGCCAACTCGAAGAACATGGAAGTGCGGCAAAGGCGCGGTACACCAAAGCATGTGTACGAGCGCCAACGGAACGGAACAGGACGCTCTAAGAACACGCAACGGCAATGACGGACACCAAAGAGCACGCCTGCGGCCGTATACACTTCAGGGGGAAATAAACAGGGAGCAGGACACAGCCCAGACAGCGCCGACTACACAACCCGGAATCGGGGATTGGCCAAATGTACGGGATCTCCCCCCCCCCCCCCTACCGTGGGACGCACCTTTTCGCGGTCTTCGAGCACCTTGTCCTTCACCATCACAGCGGCCCGGAGGTCCCCCTGCGCGATCGCCGACGCCATCATCTTAGCTTCCGCGTCCTCCTTTTCTTGGTCCAGCGCCTGTGGCACGTCCGCGGAGAGGGGGAAGGGCAAGGGGTGCCAGGAGAGATGGAGAGACGCGTGCGAACACACACAGCAGCAGCCGCAGCAGCAGCAGCAGCAGCAGTGCTAAAGCTACCGGCAAGCCCGATGAGAATTACAAGAATCAACGCTGTTTTAAGGAAATACGTATGCAATAGCAAGAGATAATCAACCCTGTGTCCCGCACACCCACCATCTCTTCGCCACAAATCATTTTCAATTCATGGTTGGTTGCTTGCTGTTGTTCATGTTTTTTCGCACCTTGGCTCGCGCCACTGCCGCTTCGAGCTCCTGTTGGCACTGACGTCGCGCTTGCCGCTCAGCAGCGAGCGTCGCCTCACGAGCCTCGAGCGCATCTCTGACAGAAAAAATATATATACGAGTGTCGCGGCAGGTAGGGTGCGTGATGGGAACCATCGGAGGCGACGTTCTCGCTTTCGGTGCTCAAGACACCTTGCAACGGCAGCAGCGATACGCCAACACCAACGACACTAACCGGGCCCGATTGTACCTTCAGCCATCACTAGTCCGACTACGTGCCCATGCCATGCGCCTCCTTCTTCCACATATCAGCAGTGCAGGCAGAAAGGATGCCTACTTCCTGTTACTAACTACCATTGCATTTGCAAAGCTGTCGACTCAGAGAAAGGGCAAGCACGACAACAACGACAAGAAACAACACCTGATCTCCTTCATATCTGCCATATTCCTCGCTGCCTCTGCCTTCATGGCCTCCATCGCTTCCTGAGCGCCGATCCTCTCCGTGCGTGCCGCCCGGATCTCGCCGTTGGCAACCTGGAGCGCCGCCTGATTCGTAGTAAAACGGCGGTGGAGTGGGGCAAAGCTGCGAGTAAATGCTCAGTCAACGGCTCACGTTGGGACCACCCACCCTTACCCTAAAACCCGCAGAAAAATCCGGTACTGACACCTCACCATGGAATAAACAAACCAGTCCCCGGGCTTCAAATTCTATAGCAAATAGTTTAACATCTCGTCAGTCTGTTGGATTCCATCAGAAATTCAGAACTAATGCTCAGAGAGACGGCACGTGTGCACCCGGCAAACGGCGCTTTTGAGCACGGTGTCCTTCCCTCTGCGTGTGTCGGCCAACTACCCGCAAGAGGGGGAGAGATGGCACCCGCCGTACACCAAATTTCAAAGCTCGACTGCTCCACAACTATTGTAAGCGGGTGCGGAAAGAGCCCGATGCGTCTACGGAAAGCCCTCGACGAGATACGAAAAACACCACGTATTGGCAAAAGCTTGGACGTGGAGCAATCGAGCTTTGAACAAAGGTCTAGGGGGGGCTGCTATCTCTCCGCCTCTTACGGTACGCGCGCGTGATTGCTAAAGTTCTACCACGCCGCACGCACGGCGAGGGGCAATGGCTGTCAATGGGGGGGTGGGACTACTGCATAAGCTGGCACCTTTTGTTCTCGCGCTAGATCCGCGAGCTCCGCGGCCGCTCTCCTCCCCCTAGCCTCCCCCTCCGCCGACGCCCTCGCAGCCTTGGCAGCGGCGCGAGCGGCGTCCTCCGCGGCCTCGAGCTTGTGCTTGAGCACCACGATCCGATCACGCTCGGAGTCTACCGCAGACACCAGCTTCTTGTCTGCAAGACCAAAACAACACACGGGGGTTCAGGCGAATGGGGGGCAGCGGAATGGGTCTGTAACTACTTCCCCGGAGAGAAATTCCCAACGGAGGGAAGTCGATCAGCCAACGGCGGCAAGAGACCCAACTTTGTCCCTTCTATCACTGCGCTGTGCAATGTGGGGGCGCAAGAGGGTATGTTACACGCTTCGTTGCCGCCATGTCCAAGCCACGCCCTACCGAAAAGTCAGATACCACGCTGGGCCGGCGAAAACCCGGCATATCGCTCCGTCCCGGCCATGAAGGGATGCGAGGTCAATGGTCTAATAACTACGACATGCGTGTACACGAGTAACCCCCCCCCCCCCCCCCTCGGTGTTTGCCATCGGGATTGGGTTTTCGTTGCTTGGCAACGACGTTGTAAAACAAGCCAATTCACTTCGCGAACTCGGCAACCAGGTTACCGTTTTTTTTTTTTCCTCGTTTTTTTTTTTTGGCGGTAACCATAATGGTGGTCGAGTAGATCATGTTGTGCGGGGTGGAGAACCCTCACTCCGCGCAAGGGGGATGATCGCACCACGTTGTGTTGAAATGGTCAAGCATCCTCGGCAGTTAAGTTACACAGTGCTTACAACTGTCTCTGGAAGTGAAAGCACCAGAAAATAAATTAAGTCATACGTAGTTGTCGTCCGTACGCAAGGAAGTACGCACAAGATGCCGAACACCCTTAGCAGGATGCAGCTCACCCTTCATGCGACTCGCCAAATACCTCACGGCGCTTCGCGCTTGGTGATGTGAGAGCCTGGTCCGGTGAGAACCCGGCGTGCTCCGTCCCGGCTTTGTAGGGATGCGAGGTCAATGGTCTAACGACTACGGCATGCACGACTATGAGTACACCCCCCCCCGTCGCGCCCCCAGCCTTCGACCCCCCGGAATACCCACCGGCGTCCAAGGCCGCTCTCCTTCTGGCGTCATCCGCGTCGGTCGAAGCTCGTCTCTCCCTCGCGCGAGACTCCTCGACCTGATCTTGCAATCCCCGACAGCGAGACTCCGCTTCTCGAAGCAGCGAGCGTACACGGCGGCATTCCTCCTGCCCGACACAGACAGACAACAGCAGGCGCACAAAAACAGACCCGCGCAACGATGGAGCCGGAAGGCGGGTTGGATTGGGGGGGGGGATCGGAATGGGGGTCCGAGAGAGAGAGAGAGAGAGAGAGAGAGAGAGAGAGGGAGAGAGAGATAAGGAGAATGAGACAATCGTGATATCGCGCACCCATTGGACACGGTGGCCGCTTGAGCAATCACAGTCGCACAATCAAACATGTTGATTCTAGGAGCTAAGGTGGAGGAGAACAAGAAGCGGTGCCCAGCAGCCGTCGTCCGCGCCCGCGGCGGCCAATCAAAGCAAGCCTTGGCAACAACAACAACAACACCGACAGCCTCACCTCCGCTTCGCTTTCTGCCCTCGCCTTCCCCCTTAGCTGCCCCTCCAGCCTCTCCATTTCTGCCGTAGCTCTGGCCTCGCTTGCCTTGACACTCGCTTCCGCGTCCGTCTTAGCCCTGATGACGTCAGCCTGCGCTCAACAGCCGTGGGACCAGTTTCCGTGTACGTCCAAATGGTGTGCGGACGGGGAAAGTTAACAATAGAATTGTTCATCTTTGCATATGTAGCCGGTAGGCAAAATAACCTCAGCAGGACGTCGCAAACACCGCCGGGACTGAGTTGCGCGTCCGGGTTCAACCGACCGAGGCAGCGCAGAGCTAAAGAGCTCCCGAACAGTAACATCGTAAAATGGTAAAATCCAGGCGCTCCAAGGAAGTGCGGAGCAACAGAACGCGCGAGCAGCCGGTTCCAAGGACGTCGGGCGTGGGGGATTAACTCTCTCTGACAATGGATTTCTTGTTTTCACAAAACAAGGCGCACACAAAAAACTACGCAAGGAGTAAAGCTGTACAGTGCTCAGTATGTACACGAGCTTGAAAAAAGGACGGGAAAACTATAAACATGTTTTCCTCCTTGCCTGGGCTTGCTGCTGTCCAAGCACGGCCGCCGCAGCATCGGTCTCGGCTTGCGCGAGTCGCAGCTCCAGCGACGAAGCCGTCTCCTCCGCCGATCGGCACGCCGCCGCCATCGACCGCATCTCCTACACACATCGTGAGAACCGCCAGGAGGATGAATGCAGACGTCTGCAGGTCCGGAAGGGTCAACACCCATGCCGCTGGCGTTGTACAAGCGCCCATCCCAACATTGGCCTAAAACGCTCAACCTTTAGCATCGTATAAACCTTGGCATTGCTCTAGGGTTGAGGATCAAGGGGTGTCTACCCGTCAAAGACGGAGGTGCTGCGGGGGGGACACTAGTCTCGCACAACGCCTCACAACAAGACACGGGTGCATCCAAGGGCTTGGCCCTACGAAGTCGCTTGTGGAGCACTACGAGTGCCGAAAAATATCCACCAACAACCAACAACCCCCCCCAACCCCGCTCCCTTTCCTACCGTCCACCTCCTGTACGCGTCGTCGCTACAAAAAAACGACCCGCAACGACAATGATGAACCGGCCCCCCTGACGGCAGCAGCAAAAACAAAACCAATGCCCCCACGTCTCTCACCTCACGGCCCTCTTCCTGGGCCGATTCTCTCGCCTCCCTCTCCCTCGCGGCGGCCGACCCTTCCAGCGCCGCTTGCACCGACTCCCACGCCTTCCGCTCCCGCTCTGCCTCCCGGCGGGCGCCGGCCAGGGCTTCGTCCGCCGCCGCTGCCGCCGCCGCCGCCCTCGCGCGGTCCGTGTCCCGCGCCCACCTCGAGAAGGAGCTCGCCAGGCGGTGACCGTCGTGCCCCGACAGTGCCGCCGCCGTCGCTCCTACCAGCGCCGCCGCCGCCACCGCTCCGCCAATGCTTAACCCGCCGGTGGAGGGAGAGGACCCCGACTTTCCGGTCCCGGCGTTCCACAAGGCGAAGGAACCTGCGGAGGGGGTTACGGATACTCGCCGGGTGCGCGCAGGTCCAGAAGACAGGGGCCCTGGCCCTCGGTTTGCTTGAGTGGAGGCATCCGCGAGGTGTCTTCGGCCCGAGCTCTATGGGGTCGGAGGGGAGCCGTGAACATAGGTACGGGGGGCGGCGGGGAACAAGAGCAAGTATGGTTAGGTTGTCGAGGGCGAGAGGGCGAGGGTTAGTCGCAAGAGGCTCGCGCTGTGCACGAAGATGTTAGCGCGTGCTTTGGGGGAAAGTCAGCCGGCCGTAATCAGCAGCGTCATGACGTCTCTTTCTTATTTCGCAACAACGGAGCTCGTGAAGCTTTGAAACTTAACGGCGACAGCACCGTCAAAGCAGAAGAAATTTTCTACTAACAATCCAAGCGTTCGAAAATCCAGCTCGACCCACCTCCAACGGCTTCGCACCAACGCCGCCTGGTTCGCCCGGCGGCGTACAACCTCCTCCCCTAGCCGCCTGTAGCGTCAACTCCGACGCGTCTTGACCGCCGCAGCAAGAGCACCTCGCTGTCACAGACGCCTCCCCACCACAAACATCCTCAGGCCTCGCCACCGCCGCCGGGGGCTGCGTAACGCCACCTCTACTACCAAATCCCCCGTTCCCGATGGCCGCACAATCTCCGGAGGCGCGTGTCCATCGCACTGGGCGGTCAGCTACCGCTGTGTTGCCGTTGCTCCTGAGGGGCACCGTAGACCCTGTCCCACGGACGGTACGGGGCACAACCCCCTTCCCAGCCACCCCGCGTTGTTGTGGGTCCCCGTGCTGGGCCCAAGGGTTACTCCTGCTTCCCCTCCTCGTCGGACCAGCGGCACCCGCCTCGTGTGCTTGCCCTCGGGTCGTATTGCTGACGCTGCGACGCAGAGCGGCCGTTGCCCTCGCCGCGGTGGCGGCGTGTCGAGCCGTGTCCTGGGCCTGCTTGTCCTGCCGCACAGGAAAAAAAAAAAAAAGAAATGTATATATGTATTCCTTCAAGTATGAACTCGGGTACAGTGGGGGTCCCTGTTTAGTGCCGGCTGAGTAGTGCCAATGCCCGGTGTAGTGCTGGTGTTTTCGGCGGGCACGCACTGAATTTCCACGCCATTGTCAGTACTTTGAATAGTGCCGGTCGGGTTATAGTGCCTGTGAATTTTCTGGGCGCATGCTGGCACTAGCCAGGGACCCCCACTGTAACAGATTTGCACATATTATAGTCTTCTTTGGTTCGTTGAGGTTCACTGTGTTCTTCGAGTCGAACCACGTCCTTTTGCGTCAGCTGATCGGGCTTGGGAAACGTAAACGTTACAACTGGAAGCTGGACGCCAGCTGTGGGCAGGTCCGGCTGCCTGTTTTCATGTTCACCTTTCAACCACCCTGGATGACGCAGTGCTCTCACGCGACACTCCGGAGGGATCTCTCTTGTATACCATATACTTCGTATTTATCTTTTGCCCGATCAGCAATGAGCGATATTTGGGCAGCTTGCAATTCGAGCGGTGTCTTGACTCATCAACAACCATCCGAAAGTGGACAAGAAACGACGTACAGCAGTAGCGTGCAAGCATCTAGGAAGACACGTAAGGGCCTCCCACGACTCACATGCAAGTCTTGCAAGCGGCTGTCCATCACCTCTAGCCGAGCCTCTTGCGCGACCGACCTGAGCCTGCTCAGGAGGCCGTGCTCCTCTGCGACATCCTCCCCCAGCGCTTCCCGCACCCCCGACTCCCCATCAAAAATCCCACGCCCCCCCCCGCCGTCCTTTCTCCTTCCTGGCACGGCACGCGCAGCGGTCTCCTCGGTGTCAACTCTCCCCGCCGATCCCACCACCCCGAAGCTGTCGGCGTCGAAACCCTCCGCGTGGCTTTCCCGCAGACCGTCGCCGTCACCTTCGCTCCAGCCGGCGTCGCTAGACGAAGACTCGACACCGGCCGACTGTACCGCCACCCTTCGCGACGACATCTCGTCGTCATCATCGTCATCCAAGCAGCGACCCCGACCCCCGCCGCCTTCCGCCGCCACCCCCGGGCGGCGGCGGCGGCGGTGCCGGAATCGGCCCGCTAGCGCGTCGAACCTGGGCGCGATGGGCACCTCCTCGGGCGCTACTAATGCTGTCACCGCCGCCACGGGGATGGCCGTTTCCGCCGCCGCGTTTCGATCACCCCCGGGCTCCGAGGCCGCCGGTGTGTCCTCGGTCACATCTGCCGCCGCGGCGACGCTGCGGCGCTGCTGCTGCGCCCTTGCCCCGCTCTCTCTCTTCGCCGCCGCTTCCGCCGGCGTCGCCGCGGTCTCACGATCCTCAAAAAAGAAGGAGGCGTTTTCTCCGTCCAGGGTCTTGAGCGAACGCGCGGCAGCGAAGACGTCTTCTCGGTAGCCGCGGCACGCGCAGATCGGGTTCGGCTGCACTCGGCGCCCCCTCCCCACGGACGCGAGAGCGAGGCTCTCCAGGCGCCCGAGTGCGGCCAAGTGAGGGGCGTGGGCGCCCGCTGGCCCGGCGATGCGGTTGTCCCTTGCGTCTAGGTGGGTCAGGGAGGACGCCAGCGCCTTAGGAGGAAATTTCGAAGGAGAGATCCAGGACAAGAAGGAGAAAACAAGGGGTGTTAGAGGGGGGAACGCTCATGAGCCGAACCAAAAAAAGGAGGAGGCGGTGTTGCGCGGCCATGGCACCACACAGCTCTTCTCCTCTCTGTGACTCCCGCCGGACACCATCGTAGCCCTCCGTCCCCTCGACAGACTCCAAATCTGCATTAGTCCCCCCAGCCTTCTGTGCGCGAGCTGCTTAGAGACGTGCTGTATGTATTATAGTAATCTAATATTATTTGGAACCCCTCCACAAAACCTACAGCTCAACATACTACTTTCGGTCTTCTCAGCTAAGTAACAGGTCTGGACGTTAAAGACCCCCCCTTCCAGCCACCCTCACAACTAACTCCCTTGGTTAGCTTAATAGCCAGCGCCCCGCACCTGCACCCCGTCAAGAGACGTGAGGCGGTTGTAGGGCACGAGGAGGCGCCTCAGACCGGGAAGAAACGGCAGGCCAAGCAGGCCATCGATGCGGTTGCAGGACAGGTCTAGGCTCTCGAGGGAAGCAAGAGGCCCCAGGTGGGGCGCGCAAGAGCGGATAGCCTCCCCATCCAGCTCGTTCGAAGACAGGTTGAGAGCGGTCAGAGCCTTTTTCGGAAGGAAGGCGCGCGGATTTCAGGATGAGGGCGGGCGGGCGGGCGGGCGGGTGGGAGGTTAGTTATTCGTCGCGTTGCCATACTGCTGTATATTGATAGTTTCAAGATTCTTGCTTACTGCAGGCGTGGCGTCAAGTTACCACTCCCACCCGAGTCACGTCCGATGTTTGAAACATGAAACCAGAGCACGAAGTATTTTTCAGACCGTACAGCGTGCAAGTGGGAGAGGGTGTGAATGCATGGTGGGAGACGATGGCGTGAGTACGTTGTGCTAAATAAATAGTATACGCTTCTTGCGAGCGGAAATCCCGATTGGACCCTGACGGGACAGGTCCGAACGATGGACAAGGGCAGCAGACCGCAAAACAATGAACTAAGGAGGCCGCGGGATCTATGCGCAAATGACTGCGGCAGCCGTTTCCTTGAAAATCCGGTGAAGCAGCACTCTGGTGCACCGTGACTGGGATCGCGCTACGATTCGTGTAGGAAATACTACACTGCTGCTGTTAGCTATCTATCGGCGGAGGAAGCGAGAGGAGAGATGCGCGTTTGGTTGGGTCTCTCTCGGTCGATCACCGCTTTTTGCTTTTTGCAGCGAGCGGCGGCACTTGGCGGCAGGCAGCGCCAGGCCAAAAATTTCGGTGGTGTTGCATATTTGAGCGTTGAGCTTTTTTAGCACTTTGCGCCTCTGAACAGAAAGGTCGCCACGCCCATCAACTTGGAGTGTGTCCCATACTTCAATAGCGCCCTCGCCAGGTCACGGTACAATGCACTTACTAGCGCCCTCGTCAGGTCACGGTACTACTGTCCAGCACATCACCACGTTTGTTGTGCACAACAAGCCTCGATGCTGCCATGTGGAAGCATGCGTGCGTGTCTCGCTACACGCGATGTTCACTTCTTCCTTCCTGCGGCCCGCATTTTTTATTTTTCTATCTATACATATGTGGGCCGCGTTTCCGTGCGGAGTATGCGGGCCGCATTGATTGTCTGTTCAGCGGCAGCGGCTTGTTGGACGAATTCATGGATAGACAGCCTCGCACACTACACACCACACACACAGAGCCAGACATGGACAAAGAGGGAGAGGGAGACACAGACCACAGAGAGGGCGAGACGGCGGGAGCAGGGTGTGCCCTACACTACTGCTGTTAGCTATCGGCGGAGGAAGCGAGAGGAGAGATCAACATTTGGTTGCAGCAGCAGCAGCAGCAGCAGCAGCAGCGGCCTCTCTCTCTCTCTCTCTCTTCCCTTGGAGAGAGGCACATGACACCAACAACACACAGACGCTGCTACGCACCACCATTGGTGCGACATGTACTGCTGTACGCCTCTCTACACTTTTGAGCGCGAAGGCCTAGTCTGCGACCAGTGCCTCCCGTGCTAGTCTGGTTACCCATCACACGCTTTTGAGTTGTCTCGATCAAAGCTCGAACCAACAAGCGAAGCACAACAGCAGAGACAGATTTTTTTTTTGAGCTGCTAGCCGTATTTTTTTATATACATACCACACCCCCCTCCCTAGCTGATGATGGTGAATACCACCCTGACTCTCGAAGTCATGGGTTCTACTCCGTGTGGAGGTGTCTTTTTTTTCCAAGACATATTATTTTTTCGGAGTCCATCACATCATTGATTGACGCCCCCCACACCTCAATCAATATATTGTAATACTTCTGTGTAGCAAACGGGCCAATGGTAGCAACGCACGAGCCTACTGCAGGTACGTTTTTCAACAAAAAACTGTTCCACCTCCCGATCTAGTAATGTTTCAACTGATAACGTAGGCTCCGTCAGCAACGCCGGCGGGAACAGGACACATGTACGTACAAAAGCTATTTTACGCTGTTGACAAAAAGATAAACCTCTCCACAAAGTATATTCTGTGTTGTTGTTGTTGTCTTCACATCAAAAACCGTTCCGATCTCTCTCTACCCAGTACCTTTATATGTCCGTACTGATCCAACACTTGACGCGGTCGATTCCCGTGGTCACAGGCTAACTTACCCTAAAAAGGTACGCTCAGGTTATTACAATGTAAAAAGGTCAAACATAATGAATGGCACGAAGGTGTGTTGCGCCAGAATAAATAATGGTTACACCCACACACAGCAGCAGCCACAAAGCAGTTACCCCCATTTAGGTGATTAAGGGTTACTTCAAGAGTTAAATGTATATGAGTTGATGCCACAGCAAAATGTGACGCTGTACTGCCGGAAGAAGAACAGGGGCTAGAAACGGAGTTGGGCCGCAAGACCAGGCCCAAATAATTTCCAGTGCAAATTTCCACAATTTATCCGTTTCGATGTTGTTTTTCAGTGCGAGTGTGTGCTGGCTGCTACAGCAGACATGGTGGATTTGTAGCTCGGAACGTTGCGAGAGAGCGCGTGCAGGGTGGGTGGGAACAACGTAATGCGTGAGTTTTGGGTTATGTTCGCACAGGTTGTCATAGCTGCCCACAATGAATTCTCGAAGGCCACTTCCGACTGCTGTTGGGTATTGCGCGCAACAGCCAACCCCTGCCTCGAGGTCGACGCCCAGGCAGACAACACAACACAACAAGATTCCCGGACCCGCTTTGCTGCATGCGGGAAAAAATAGCACCACTCAACAGCAGGCCAAAAAAAAGCAACAGATCAAATGCCATACTCACCGTCATGGAGGCAAAACCCTCGAGCGAAGACAAGCGGTTGCTGTGGAGGCTCAGAGAGACGAGGGTCGAAGGCCGCGCAATGCCGTAGGCGAGGAAGTCCACCTCGCCAAGGGAGCCAATGTTTTCGTTCATCGCGTTCAAAACTCGCGCAGCGCTCATCTCGTGGACGTCCACTCGGCTGACCTCTGCAGCAGCCCCACCACTCCCTCGTTCCTTTGTCGGCGAGGCGAGGACGACTACCCCCGGAGGAGAAGACATGGGGCGACTTGCCAAGACGAATCTACGATTGAAAGTGTCAAGCTTTGCTTCGACAAGTTGGACGTTGTGGGTCGCATACGCGTGCGCTGATGCTGCCTCCGAGTTTTTTCCTGCTGTGTGTTCACCAACAATGCTGATGTTTTACGACACGGTGCCGTTGCGTCCCTTTGCTGGTAATTGTCTCGTCGTTTGTCAAGTTCACTAATTCGCGCCTCTAACTCCTCCCCGTTGTTGATCTGGCAAGAATAGCTCAACGGACAGCTTGTGTGCGCGACGAGAGGCTTGATCTCCCTCCTCTTTTCCCGAGGTGCTGTGTGTTTCCCATTCGCGGCACCCCCATGGGTATGCCAGTATTCATTATAATCCTATTTGTCGGACCCCTTCGGGGAAACTGCTGTAGGAGAGCAGGGTGGGTAGCTCGAGTTAAGCACACTGCGCGCGTTGTCACGAGCCACGAGTCGCCGTGCGTACGAACGCGCATTCGAGAAGAGTTGACTTGCTGCCTGAAATCACCTCACGCACACGTGCCGAGAATGAAGCGCTCATGACGCCTAAAGCAGCATCGGGGCCGCAGCAAGAAAAAGCCTTCGCGGTCGAAACCCCTTGTAACGGCCGCTCGACGGACCTGCGACCTGGCCACGTAAGCTGCCAAGGACTCTTCTGTACTCACAAGGCAGCGCCAGCAGCGGTGCAGGGCGTTGTGTTCCAGGCATCTAGCAGGGCAGACGTTCAGAGGCACAGCAATAGGCTAAGAAATACGACGGAGGAAGCAGGAAACCCGAGGAGCACCACCGTAAGTTCCCCTTCAGCAGGCCATGTCATCATGGCTGATGACGCCGATTCTGCTGATCGCGGCCCAAACGCTGCCGACACGGGAGGCGTCAGTCGCATGCGTGGAAGCGCGTCAAGCCCAGCAGCCGGCTTGCGCGTCATCGAGAGCGGGCGCTTCTTCATCGATCCCAGCAGCATTCGTGTGTGGGCTCCCACAAACAGCAGTGGCTCGATATAAGAACCGGGTTGTTGAAGCTGACCACGTGAGCGACCGACTGCTGCGGTGGGGACAGCAGAATGGGAGATGTAGGCCAAGGTCGCAGGGGGTGCAAGCAACGATGGACGTGGATGGACCGCCGGATGTTGCTGGTGGTGACGGGAAGAGGGGCGTAGTGGTGAGGGAAGAGGTGCTGCGGCAACAGAAGGAAGGAGCAACGGTGGCAACAACAGTTGAATTTCCGAACGTTCAAGCGCCAACAAACTTGCCGCAGGTGTGTGTCTCGTAGACAAAGAGTCTAAATTTACAGGGAGGGATGCCCACGGTGTGGAACCGCACCGCGGTGCGGTTTTTTGTATGTTGACATGGTCACGGTGCGGTGCGGTGCGTTTTTTTTCATCTTGATATTTGACGGTGCAGTGCGGTGCGGTTTTATCATATCACGGTGTCGTCCGGTGCGGTTTTTACCATCTCCAAATTCGATGGTGCGGTGCGGTGCGGTTTTTTTCATCTTGATGTTTGACGGTGCGGTGCGGTGCGGTTCACCGTCGCACGTTTTTTTTTTACGGTGCGGTTTTTTCTAGCCCGTGACAAAAACCGCACGAACCGCGGCCTCGGCGGTGGTGCACCGTTGAAGAACACCGCGGAGAATACTACGGTTGTCCGTGACAAAATGACGGGGTCTCCATGATTTTTTTTTTCGTGGAATACGTTAGGTTTCGTCCATTGAAATGAGTGAGGCCGACACGACCAATCCCGCGGCATGCGGTCAGAAAACCCGAAATCCCCAGACAAAGGAGAAGTTACTGATCATTTACTTCATTTTCCCAGTCATCATACGTTCCTACAACACGAGCTACATTCCTCACGTTGCTTCTACTACTACTACTGCTGTTGTTGGAATATATATAATGCAAATATGCGAATATGCTAGAAAAAATGAAGAAAAAATCTGGCATCACCACCAGGCAGGCGGCTCATGCCCGCCACGGGCTACAACCCGCGAATTCGTTGACGGCGGTGCGTTGCACGCTGCGAACTGTCTTCGGGGTGCCCCCAGTTTGCGCGGCATCAGCAGCACCAGCAGAGCAGTGGTAGAACCGCCGGGAGAAGGAGATGGACGCGTGGTGACCACCTCTCTCTGCAAGAGGCCGGTCGCCATCGCCGGGGGGTGGCTCCATCAGAGATGGGCGGAGTTGTGCACGGAGCGTATGGCAGTGGCGGTGTGTGTGTGTGATGTGGGGACACGGTGTTGCGTGTGTGCTGGTTCACAAATTAAAAAAAGATCAATGTTCAATGTTCCTGGTGTGCGTGTCTGCACGACAAAACCGTGCCTTACCTGTGGCTTTTACCGCGGTTTACTGCGGTTTTTATCGCGGTGTACTGCGGGTTTGGCTACGGGGTGGGGCAAACCGCACCGTAATAAAACCGCAACTACGGTTATTTGTGAATCCTTACGGTGCGGTGCGGTGCGGTTTCGTCGTACCACGGTG